TTCATCAAGAAATGATGACTTATGAATATGAATATGATTATGAATACGCCAACCCTGTGATCAGCTCTCGGCGGGCTACCAGTCACTTAGCTCCAGTCGCTGTTTTGCGCCTTTCTTGCGCGCCTTCTCTTTATCATACCTTGACAATAGCTTTGTACGCCGCCATTTTCGCATCACGCCGGATGTTGTGGCAACTATGTAAAGTAGCGGTCAAAAGTTTGGAAACTTTTTATTTTTGATCTAGCGTAGCCAATAGACAATGAAATTGCCCCGAATTCACATATTATATTCAGAATCTAGTGTAGATTACGCTTGGTCGCTTCATAGCAGCTCCTTTTTCTTTGTTGAGGAAGGCGGCAGTGGCGAGGCATGCTTCCCAATAACGCTAGAAACATCCGATAATATTGCTTCCGTAGAGACTGAACTACTAAGAACAGTTTCAATTTCGTATTCCGGATTGTAGGGTTTAAAAAAATGGAAAAACTGCTTCCTTTGCATATGAATTCATTTTGAAATTACACATTGCTCAATGGTTAACTAAAATTAACAGTGAAGAGTAGGAATCATAATGATAAGGGAAACAAAAAGTTTCCAAACTTTTGACGCGCCATTACTTGAAAAAATCTTATTTCTCAAATATGATTATAGGTTTTTGGAAATTGTTCTTCCCGTCGTATTCTGAACTTGATTTTGTATGGAATATCTAAATTTGGGACAATTTCGTTGTGTATCGGCCGCGCTAGATCAAAAATAAAAAAGTTTCCAAACTTTTGACCGCTACTGTATGTAAGTAGGCAAATATTCTGTAGTCTGTGAGGTTTCCCGGGCCCTACGGGAGTATCCGTCTAGCTCATTCTTTATTTTCTTTTGATTAGATTTGGTGAAAAAGAACAACAGAAGTTAGTACAAACCTAGCCGCATGGCAAGCACATGTTTTCACTGGAACAACATGATCAAAACAGTTTTGAAACCACTAAAGAGAAAGTGAGTAAAATTTGCCGACAGCGCCTGCGAAATTGCACCAGTCCCACGCAACCAAAAAAGCCAAAAAGCGCTATGTCATCAACGTGTAAAACAAACAATTGTAAAACATTCATTTGGAAATTCTTTTGATATATTGCCTAAGCTGTGACCTTATCTACTATCTCTCCGCTCTTAATCTATTGACGTAAAAGCAAGTGAATCAAGTGAATTTTGTTTGCATACATGCTTGTGTTCAGGAAAGCAAAATGCTGTCGCGTCGGTCAGCTCATGAGGCACGACAACAGACTCTGGAGCACAGCAACTGTCCGTGGAGATAGAGACGACCTCGTGGACGGTCACTGCGGTGACAAGACTATCTTGCGTGCTATGACAATATGTACGATTCTACTTCAATAAAGGTAATAGTGTACCGATCGTCAACGGCTCAACGTAAAACATTGTGGAACTTAGAGTAAAGAACTCGTCCACTGACAAATCATGACTCTGTCTAACCCATTGATCAGGTTGAGACCAGATTTAACTGTCTATCCGAACTATTCGAACGAGGACATCGCGTTCTGCTCATGGAGCGGGTTGCAGACCCGGGCCCGCGGCGATCTGTAGCGATACCACAACTTGTAGGTGCAAGGGCATACCCCAGAGGCGACGCGCGGAGGCTTCCCCAAACCTCCGTGGCAAATGTGCAAGGGCTACCGGTTTAAGGACGGGAGAGGCCAAAGAAGCCAGTCCGAAACTCGCACTCGCACTCGCAGAAGTTGAAGCCAATACGAATTGCCACATTGAACATTGGCACGCTCACAGGACGGAGCCGCGAGTTAGCCGAAATGTTGAAAAGGCGCAAGGTGACCATTGCATGCATCCAGGAGACACGATGGCGAGGGCAAAAATCGTGCGATATTGGAAGGATACAAGCTCAGCTACTACGGCACATCCAATAGCAACGGAGTGGCCATTGCCGTCGACGCCGAGCTGCGCAGTCACATCGCGGAAGTACAGCGCCACTCAGACAGGCTCATCTCTGCTATCATTGATTGTGAAACTTACCGTGTATACGTGTTTCTGCCTATGCTCCACAATGTGGCTGCGAAGACGAGGAAGAAAGGACGATTCTGGACAGATTTACAAGACAAGATTGCAGCAGTTCCTGGAGACGATTTTCTCTTGTTCATGCGGCGATCTCGAAGGCCACGCTGGCGCGGAACGGGTACAGCTGCCATGGGAACTACGGGATATGGTGCACGCAATGAAGACGGATGCAGGATTTTGGATTTTGCTGAGGCAAACGATCTTGTCATCACTAACACTTTCTTCAAAAAGCGTGAAAGCCACCTAGTCACCTATGCTAGCGGGAACCTGAAAAAGTCAAATTGACTACGTGTTGGTGAGGGAACGAGATATGCCAGTTGCAAGCAATGCGAAGGGTGTTCCATCTGAGTGTAGCACCTCAACATAAGCTGGTCGTGGTTGATATAAAGATGAGGAAACCCAAGCAAGGTTATGGCAGCTCCATGGTATCAGGAAAAATCAAATGGTGGAGAGTACGTGATGAAATATTGCTGGCAGCTGCGCTTTCCCTCCCATAGAAGATTGCTCCATCGATGCTACTTGGACATCCTTCCGACGTTCTGTCACTGCCGAAGCTGTGCTAGGAGCTACAACAGGTCAACGGTGCATAGACAAGAAAACATGTCTGTGGACGGAAGAGGTAAAGCGGAAGAGGTAGAGAGTAGCAGAAAAGAAGGCCGCATACAAGTCGGTCCAGTTACTTGCATCACTACAGAAGAGGTCACCAAGGCAATCGACAGCATGAAAAATCGGAAGGCGCCGGGACCAGACGACATTCCAGCAGAATTCTGGAAAATGAAAGAACAGCGACAAATTGGAATTCCATGGCTTACGCGATTTTTCAATGCAATCGTCAACTCTGGCCGCGCACCAAATGAATGGGATTACAAGCATCACTATACCAATCTTTAAAAATAAAGGAGATCCCGCAGAATGTTCGAATTACCGCCCGATTCGCCTGTTGTCGCATACTATGAAGATCTTTGAGCGGATCCTCGATCAACGACTTCGCGACATCGTCGAGCTGAAGCATCAATCAATGCGGATTCGTAAAGGGTTCTGGAACAACCGATGCAATCTTTGCCGCTCGCACACTTGGAGAAACATCGACTGAAGCAAAAGCCGATCCATCTAGCCTTCCTAGACTTGGAAAAAGCGTACGACCGCGTTCCACACCAGCTGATCTGGTATGCGCTTCGTGAACACAGAGTGCCAGAAGTCCTCATCAAATGGATCCGAATTCTGTACTTCGTTAGGCACTACTAGTCGAGTGAGATGTGCAGCTGGTCTCTCCCAGAGCTTTCCCATAAACGTTGGCGTCCACCAAGGATCAGCACTCTCACCG